GCTTCTGCAGAACAAATACTATCCTCCTCTCTGAACAGCCATCCTCAGACGCTAAATGGGGGGTGGTGACCTGAGGACAAGGGAAGGGAATTGATGAGCTTCTGTCTCGTCGGTTGGTCAGATTCTTCCAGCAAATTCCAGTGAAAGGGCTCCTGTCACAAGGGGACCATTAAATAAAGGACTGTTTGTGCTCAGGGGGGCACTTTCCTCCCACATGTGTTCAAGGACTGCCTTCAAAATGACATCAACGACAAAATCCCCACCCAACCAATGATCCTGGATTACCTCAGTTCCTAATCCTTCCAGGTCTTTCTAGCTTGAAAAGCAAAGCTTCATCTTTGGATTGTGAGGCAAGGGTCTGAGGCCAGACTCATCCCCCCAACGTCCTTCCTTCCACCCCATCTCCCTTGGGGGGCGGGATGAGACCTATCTTGAGACATATTTTTAAAGCAACTGCCCTGCTCTCTGCCCAGCCTCCCACTTCTAAGCCATGATTTTAAGCTGTGTTTAAAGTGGACCACATGGGGACAATTAAAGCAGAAAATCCCTAGGCCTGAGGGGCCCAGAGGATGAGAAAGACCTTGAGGAGAACTGAGAGAGCCAGAGTGCACAGAGATCTCCCCTGGTGGCTCCCGGTGAAGAATCTGCCTGCAACGCAGGAGACATGGGTTCGACCCCCGGGTTGGGAAGATCCCCTGGAGGAGGGCATGGCAACCCACTCCAGGATTCGTGCCTGAGAAATCCCACGGACAGGGGAGTCTGGAGGACTACAGTCCATGGGGTTGCAAAAGAGTTCCAGCAGCAGCGGCAAAGGTCCAGAGAAGGGGGAGGTTCTGAGCCAGGTGTGGGGAGGGGAGAGGGAGGAGAAGGGAGAGGCGTGGGGGGCACTGAGGACATCTCAAGGGGGCGGTTGGCTCACTGAGCCTCCTGGCGGCAAGTCCAGACTGCCTCCCTCCAGGCCACCTGCCAGTATCCTGAGACCCAGTGAGCCAGCCGAGAATCGTGCCACCTTGTGCATGCCTGCTAAGTCACTTCAGTCGTGTCCGATTCTTTGCAACCCCAAGGCTGCAACCCACCAGGCTCCTCTGTCCGTGGGATTCTCCAGGCAATAATACTGGAGTGGGTTGCCATGCCCTCCTCCAGGGGGTCTTCCCGACCCAGAGACTGAACCCATGTCTCTTCTGTCTCCTGCATTGGCAGGCAGGTTCTTTACCACTAGCGCCACCTGGGAAGCCTGCTGCCTGCAAAGAAGCTTTCCATCACATCGGGGTACAGGTGAGGAACCTGGGGCCCTCCCCAGGGTGCAGAAGTCCAGGTTTAAGGCCACCAGCATGTGAGTAAGGACACTGCCAGATCCCCAGTCAAGGACAAGGGCAGATTCCCCGTGACACTGTGCCCAGGGCCTTTCTGGTTAACATTTTCACCACTGTGGGCGACAGAGGTTGCTCCACTTTGGTTTGGGCCCCTTTCTCCTTTGGAGCTTGCATTACCCCACCTGGGGCCCTGATCCTCCCCCAGTTAAAGCACACAGCGAGAAGTGTCAGCTCTGTGGTAGGACAGGTGACCTCAAGGCCATCCAGCGAGCAGCACCATTCAACACAGGCAGCCTCCCGTAGCTCCAGCTGACTTGGCCCAGGGATGATGCAGAGAAAACCTTCCTACCACCTTTCAATTTCTTCTCTTTGAGCTCACAGTTCCTTTAGTCTGGTCCCTTCTAGAAGAATGAGTTTTTCTAACTGGTGTCCTCTCCTTCCACCTTCAAGTTAAAAGGTGAGCCGTTAGCTTTGGACTCGTAAGTCTCTGGAAGGTGACGATCAGTATTGGTCTGTTTTTGCTCCTGAAAGCTCTGTGCATTTCTCTTTTAATTAAAGTACAGTTGATATACAAAATTATGTAAGTTACAGGTGTACAATATAGTGATTCACAGTTTTTAAAGGTTGTACTCCATTTATAATTATAAAATATTGGCCATATTCCTCACGTTGTACAATATGTGTTAGTTGCTCAGTCATGTCCGACTCTTTGTGGCCCCGTGGACTGTAGGCCACTAGGCTCCTCTGTCCATGGAATTCTCCGGGCAAGAACACTGGAGTGGGTTGTCTCTCTAGTTGTGGTGAGAGTTTCTCAATGTGGTGGCTTCTCTTGTTGCGGAACACAGGCTCAGTCGTTGTGTGCACAGGCTACAACCATGCATATAAGTCTTCCTGGAGCATGGATTGAATCCATGTCCCCAGCACTGGCAGGCAGTTTCTTTTTTTATAGTTTGGAAGATAATTGGTTTATAATATTGTGTGGGTTTCTGCCATACAGCAACAGGAATCAGTCATAATTATACATATATATCCCCTCCCCTTTGAGTCTCCCTCACCCCTCCTATCCCACCCCTCTAGGTCATCACAGTGCCAGACTGGGCTCCCTGTGTTATATAGCACCTTCCCACTAAGCAGGTAGATTCTTAACCACTGGACCACCAGGGAAGCCCTGCAAATATTTTTTGCATGCCTGCCATTGTGCATGGCTTGCTCTCATCCTTGACTTGTTTTAGACTTAACTTTGCAGTCCTGTGAAGCTTCACTATATTTCCAGTTGTGTATGACTTGTTGGGGGGCACAGAGCAACTTGAGTTAGAATTGGAACCCTAGTCAGAAGATTCACGTACATCTTGGCTCTGTGTCCTGAAACCTTTCTTTTTCATCACTGTCTTGCTTTTCTTTTCTTCTCTTTTTCTTTCATAGGCTGGATTCAGCATCTTGGAGACAGACTCAGGACCTAACCATCTGTGGACCACCTGTGTGTGCCCTATAGCCAAAGAACACCAAGAACAAAGTTGGATTTTCTGATCTGTTGCAGGGAGTGAGGCTGTGTACATGCACAGATAAGGAGTCACAGGGCCTCTCAGCACAAGGGACTTAGAATAGAACATGAACTTGTGTTAAGTGGTGTGTGGGAAGTTTCAAGGAAGCAGGGGTTTGCTCTGGATTGAATGGTGTCAGGAAGCAGGATTCTACCATCAGGAACTTCTGTTTTTGTATAGAAGATGAGATGAAGGCATCAGGGCTAAAGCCGTGGTTGTGAAGAGACAGCTGTCACTTGGGTTAGTTGAGTGATTTCGGTGGTGTGGGCAGAGGCTTAGTTTGTGTCTGTGCTCAGACATGACTACAGAATGGTCTTGTTTGTCAGGCTTGTCTGAAGTTGGTGATGGGTGAGACTAACTCTGTTTGAGAGGAGAACGTGGCACCTATCTCTGAGTGCCTGGCTGGTGGGAGCTTGATGCTAGGGACTACTTTTGTCTTTGTCATTACAAAGGCAAAGCTTTGATCCTCCAGTTCCAGTCTTCTTTATATCCTAGTCTTGTATCTTCATGATGGGATAAGGATCCTCACATTTGAAGAGGAGGAGGAGGAGGGATGGATGAAAATGAGGAGGGGGATTTGCTTACGGTGGGGGTAGGGTAAAATAGTGTCTTAGCTTAGAGGATTCATCTCTGTAACCTAAATGGATCCAGGATTCCATTCCTCTGCCTGAATAGAATGATATTCCAAGGCCGTGTTAAGCAGACAGGGGAAGGAATTAGGATAACCTTTGTATGTAGGTGCCTTGTGAATTATGGGAGGAAGTTCCAGGTTGCGGGGTGGGGCAGGCATAAGAAGTGGCCATTCTTATTACAGACAACCCTCACTTAGAAAGGTAATCCACTCTCTTCGGGAACACAGGGTGATTGTACATCCCAGTTTTCTGGTATATCCTCGATTTAAGTAATATAACTATTTGACACCCTACATATAGTTTGGCTACATATTATATTGTTCTATATAATTTATTTTAGAAGTGCAAGAGATTAACTGAGGGAAACGCCTGTAAGAGCAAGCGTTCAAGGGAGCAGCAGCCAGCAGGGAGAGGCCTCTTCAATACAGGTCTGACCCTGTGTGAAGAGCAGCGGGGGGAGAAACAGACTGGGGAGGAAGAACCCCTAGACTGCAGCACACTTCTGGGGCAATCGGGGCCAGGCCTTTCAGGAGTTCCCAGGCTAAATTTTCCACTTAGAGGGGTCAGCTCCCTGGAGGGAATGGTTCTGTACTCAGTCACTGTCCAGAGGCAGCCAGGGAAAGACTGGCCCCTGCCCCTCCCCAGACAGCCCAGGCTGTCAGCCAACTCCTGGTCTGGCAGCAGGTTCTCTTAGAGCCATCTGAACTGCACCCTCCACGGCCATCGTGTCTTCGGTCAGCAATACCTTTCTTTCTTTCTTTTTTTTTAAATCTTTTTGAGTCACTGAAGCAGATCAAGTCCTCCCAGAAGCAAAGGCCAAGACAGGATTAGACCTGCAAGAGATTTGTTAAAGAATGCCTTTGAAGTATAAAAGGGGAAAGAGAGGAGAGGGGGAAAAAACCCTATACAAATGTGACTTACACTGTGAATAAATGTGTTCCTATAAGTGCTTTGTTGTTTTAAGCCTCTGTTAAGACATACACCCTGAATTTGGGCTTGGCAACTATGGTTTCTAAGGCGTGTTAAATGATAATACTGTAATTTAGGAAGGGCAAACAAGGTGAGAGGGGCTTCCATGGTGGCTGAGCAGCAAACAATCCGCCTGCAGTGCAAGAGTCACAGGAGCCACAGGTTCCATCCCTGGGTGGGGAAGATCCCCTGGGGGAGGGCATGGCAACCCACTCCAGTTTTCTTGCCTGCAGAATCCCCAGGGACAGAGGAGGCTGGCGGGCTACAGGCCATGGGGTCACAGAGTCAGACCCAGCTGAGCAACTTAGCATGAAAGTACTCAACAAGGGGATGGAGGTACAGGAGAAGTGGACCTTCCTCAAGTTCACCTACTTCTGTGCGGACCTGGACCACCAGCTGGACGCGACCTAAAAGCGGCGGTAGGGCGACTGCGCAAGAAGCGGCACATGCTGCTAAAGCGCCCGCGCAAGACCGAGACTGAGGCTCCGCCCACAGAGGAGCCTGAGGTGGGGAAGACGAGGCGCCCCAGGGTCGCCTTGCCCAAGATGGCGGGCAGCATGGTGGGCGTCTACAACTGTCAAGACTTTCAGCCAGGTGTAAGTCGAGCCTGAGGTGATCGGCCACCACCTAGGTGAGTTCTCCATCACCTACATAAGCCCATGAAGCACGGCTGGTCCGGCATGGAGCCACCCACTCTTCCCGCTTTGACCCCCTCAAGTAGCTTGCTGGCCCCTAAAGGCACAGACTTGGCTCTAGAAAGAAAGACACTGGGATTTAAAGCATCAAATCAAGATCTGCCTCAGCTACTCTTCTTTTTTTTCACACGGCTCCCTTCTGCGAGGACTTCGCATGTGTCCTCGCCCTCACTGCTTCTCCACTTCTCTAAAGGGTGGCTTTGCCTGGTAGGGGACATTGGGCTGTTAGAGCCAGTACCGGGGTTACTGGGGGAGTCGGCGCTCCTCTCGTCCCAGAAGGAGTTCAGAGAAGAGACAGGGCGGTCGAGAAAGCAAAGTGAGCATTTAACTAAGCAACGGTGCACTCTCAAAGGTGAGAAACTGCACTGACTTTCTTTGGCAAGCAGGACATGTGGGATGTACAAACGAAGGGGTGGAATATGCATTGGGGGGGAGGGTTTTGGGGGGGTCACGTACCCGGATTTTCATACTAGCTCCATCTTGCCAAGGGGAGGAGGGATTTTTGTCCTTATATAGTCTTGATGGGAAGTGTTATGACCTCGGTGCGTGATAGGAACTTCTTATCTGCAAGGTTTTATTGTAATGACAGCTTAGTAAACAAAAGGTTACATTTGTACGCCAGAAATTCATACCTTTTCCCACCTTTCTTTAGCTGTCTCCAGGACACTTATCACCCCAAAATGTGTGGTTTCGCATGAGTCTGAAGGGTCCTTCTTTGTCTGCCTAAGGACCCCCTTTGTTTACAAGATATATGATTTCCTGCTATTGGCCCGCGTGCCCCTTTTAGTTCACACTTGGCTATCTCCCTGCTCCAAAATTACTGCTTCAAGGAGTCTGGACACTTAAAATCTTCTAAAGGCGAAAGTATCTATCCTCTATGCACAAAGTCCATCCTCTCTCTCTCTCTCTTTTTTTTTTAAATTTTTATTTACTTATTGGCTGCATTGGGTCTTCATTGCTTTGTGCAGACTTTCTCTAGTTGTAGTGAATGGAGGTTGAGACTGTAATGGCAGTGCTCCGGCTTCAGTAGTTGCAGCATAGTGTGCTGGGTAGTTACGTTGTGAGGCTGAGCCATGACAGGCAGCCTAGATTAGGGGTAGGCCTGGTTTTCCAGGGTAACATGATTATCAGGCCACCTGGAGCCAGCCAATCAACATGCGCCTAGCAAGAAAAAGGGAACCTATCAGGGGAAAGCTGAAAAGCCCGTGAAGCCCAAGTTTGAAAAAAGCCTGCGAAGCTTTGGGCCAATAAGATTGCTTTGCAAACATGTAACCAATCCGCTTAAGCCAGCTACCAACTGCTTATGCACACCTTATAAATTGGGTAACAGCTTGGGCTCAGTGCTCTCTGATCCCGTACCACTGTGTTGGACTCGCGGCAGGAACCCTGACTCGAGTCAGCAATAAACTTCCTTTTTTTGCGAGTTGCATTGTCTTGGAAGCCTTCTCTCTTCCCGCTCAGGGTTTCGGACATCGGGCATAACAACATTGCATGGGCTTAGTTGTCCCAGGACATGTGGAATCTTCCCGGACCAGGGATCAAACCTTCATCCCTGCACTGGCAGGCCGATTCTTAACCACTAGACCACCAAGGAAGTTCTGGTCCATCTTCTGTAACTACTTTGAACTGAGCATGAGTGTTGTCCCTGCCTGTTGGTGGAGATCTCCTTCCTGTCTGTGAGAGACAGGGATCTCAGGGTTGTTTACAGTTTGGAGGTGGAGAGTGGGGAGTAGATCCAGTGGCTGGTGGTACCTCATCTTCAGGTGGGATGAATTAAAATCCCTGATGCATCATCATTTGAAGAGCTGGAATCCAAATTTAGGATTTTTTCTGATGGGTATTGCACTATCAATGAGTAGCTTCAACCTGGTTTAAGCTTTTCCTAGTGGAACTTGCTGATGAACTGGAGGAAACACTAGTTTCCCTGTTTGACTCTGGCCTGGTTATTTGGCTTATATGTCTTAATCTGAAAGACAGTTTCCTATTACTACTGCACAGTTGTTTTCCCAACAATGCAAAACAGGAAAGCTACCCTTAGAGGATAAAACCAGCCCCATCCCTCTGTCTTTGAGCAGCCTCAGAAATGCCAGGTCCCTTGCCAGGAGAGTGAACACCTCAAGAACAGGATCCAGGCCTCGTGGCCTAGCTTCTGCCAGAGCAATTGGCATATGGGAGGAACTCAGTACTTACTAGTTGGCTGTTTGGAGAAATGGTTTGCACAAAGCTCTTTCTACTAGCAAAGTGAGACTCTTTGGCTCATTCTCTTGCAAGCTACATGCCCTTGGCTAGTCACTTAACCTCCCTGGGCCTCAGTTTTTTTCATCTGAAGATTGCATTGATCTTTGAGCTGTTTCTCCTGTGACTGTGATCTCATGCTGTACAAAACAGCAGTGCATTCTAGTGGAGAAAATGGTTAGTTTCATAGATTGTGTCATGATTTTTAGCATGAAAGAGAGACTTATAAACTGTGCTTTTCATGAATCACCCATGAAAAACAGGTGAAGTAGAATCTAATGTTAAGCTTCAGAAATAGCCTTGGAAAATCTGGGTGGAAAATGTGTTTTTACAGAATTCCTTCCCAGCAATCACAAATCCACACCAATGCACATGATCATCAACTCTTTTTCACAAACGTTTCACAGTCACATCACGAAATATCTGAAAACTTTCTTCAAGATTCAGGAAGGACTGAATGTAGATAATAGATAGTACATGGGCCTTGGAACTCAACAGACCTGAAATCCAGCCCCATTCATGGATGTTCTTAGAAAAACTATCCTCTCTGCACTCCGTTTTCTTCAACTATAAAATAGGCTTAATCAAACCGCTCTCCTAGGTTAGTATGACTGTTGAGTGAGGTAATTCATGAGTTGCTGTCAGGACACAGTAAGGGGCTTGTGGGTCAGTGCCCAGCACGTAGTAGGAATGTCCACACTGCTCATCTTCTTTGCTTTTATGAATACTTCCACCGTCTCTCAGCAAAGCCAAAATCCAAAGAATGTGCCTGGAGGTTGTGCGAGGACACGTGAGTGGTTTAATGTTTTCATTTGAAGCAAGTATGTTTATGTGTGTGAGAGGGAAGCTCACATTCCAGGGGCCGACTCTGACCAGAGTTTGAACCAGTCTTCTTTGCTGTCCAGCTAGCAGTTATGCAGGAAAGCCTGTGGTTTAGGGATATTGGCAGAGATTGATGGGTGAGTTGGCAACCAGGAAAGATATTACTGACACCTTGATTAACCTCTTCTCCAAGGCAAAGAACTGGAAACAACTGAACTTGCAAAAGGAGTTTTTACCCAGTATTTTGCCTGACCGGCACTTAAAGCAGTATTTCAAATTGTCCCTTTGTTGGACATCCTCAAAATTTTTGCACACCAGGGCAGCACATGGTAAAGAGGGAGATGGGTGATGATGAAAGAGGGCTCTACCATCAGTTCTAATAAAGAGTAGTGTAGAAGCTGGAGATCTAGAAACCAGTACCTTATCATTGTTTATGCACCTTGGAAATTTTTAATTTTGTACCCAGGGCCATAAGGAATGGAGAGGTGAGTGAGGCATTTAACTGGGGTACAAAATTTAAGGAAGTGCCTAAAAACTCAATAATCATGATACAAAATATTTGAACACAGTGCTTTAAAAAATAAAAATTAATGCAAACAACAACAACAGGTCAAAACTTAAAGCAAGATCCCAGGGCAGGTGTACCCTAGCTTGAAGTCCACAAGTCTCAGTGTCTTAAAAACGGAAGAGCTTTCGCAGCTGATTAAAAATGGTTAACGAGTCTCTTGCTTATGCTGCCACCTGCTGCTGAAATCAGGCAGTGCCGCAATGGCAGTTCTCTGCCAGGACCCTCTCTCATACGCAAAGGCCTGGTGCCCTCTTGGGGGCATCCACCCAGTGCAGAAACTTTGGCCTCCTGCATCCTGCTAGATAGCTGAGTGGGGGTAAAAAGAACCCAAGACTACAGCCAGACTGAGACCTGCATCTCATTTTTGCTTCTCACTTGTTAGGTCATCTTGAAAAAAAGAATCACATCGCTGTTCTGAGTTTCAGTTTCTGTACCTATAATGAATGTCTTCCATCATTACATCTTCCTAAACTGTTGAATTACATGAGATGGTTTCCAGGCAGGCTGTGTGGCAGCCGTACACACAGAGTTCACTCTAAGCTCTCTACCCTGGCATAGCCCACTCCCCCGATCAAATCAAATACCATCAATTCACTGCTGAAGGCAGGACACACTCAAAGATGACCAGGGAGAAAAGCTATGGCAGAAGTGCCCACAGGGGATGATGCCATGGCTGATCTGGGAAGACCTCCCCTAAGGGGGTTACTAGAGCTGGGCCTACATGGTTGGATGGGCCAGAGGGGTTCACAGGGCCACTTCTCTAATGCTTTATCTCAGAGAAGGTCCAGTACCGTGAGACAGGCAAGGCCCTGTGGAAAGGTGGTGGTGGAAAGGCCAAGGCCCTGGCAATCCTGGCTCTGCTGCTTACTGGCTCCGTGACCAACGGAAGTCACTCGGCTTCCCTGAGCCTCAGCGTTTCTACAAAACGAAGATAATAACATGCCTGTCCCTAGTGGATAAGATTAAATAAGATGACTTTATTTAAAGTTCCTGCGATTCAGTGGACTCAATAAGTGGTAGCTGGTATTGCTAGGATGGAGCTTTCTTTGAGGAGCAGGAAAGGGGGACACAGTCAGGCAGTGTTGGCCACTCCCATTTTTGACTCCTATTCGGCAAGAAGGGGGATGCAGATATTCCCTGTGGGCAGACCGTGCTCTCACCTCAACAGGACTCAGCGTGTCAGTGCACCCCAGAAATGAATCCCCAACAGAAAAGGGTGGGATGGGGGTGTCCCTTCTGCCCTGGAGTTCTGGAGGGGACGCTGAAGTGGAGTCTTATGATAAGAAGCCTGGAAATCGGAATAAGGGCTGTAATTTAGATAACAATAGAGTATCAGCGTTCATTTCCGGACCTTGAGGAAACGTCCATGATTCCGTGAGAAAATGTCCTTGCTTTCAGGAAACACACTGAAGTATTTAGGGGTAAAGGGGCATCACGTCGGCAATTTACTGTCAGACGGTTCAGGAAAAAATAAAATGATAAGCAAATAGGGGGAGATATTAGTGTTTGTGGAATCTGGATGAAGGGTATTCGGAAATTCTTGCAAATCTTTCTGTAAGAGGGAAATCAAATGAAATATGAAGTTGTTTAATTAAAAAAGGCAGCTGCAGTCAAGGGTCCCCGCCTCCCCCCGTTCTCTTCCTCCCTCGCCTCCTAACAGCCTTCTCCCAGGGAACCCAGAAGGACCCCTGGACTCCCCGACCGTGGGAACCGGCACAGACTGCAGCCACTCTCCATCATGGTGCACTCTTTATTTGCGAAAGGAGGCGCCCAGCGCGCGGGGGGCGGGGAAATCCCTGCGCCCAGGCCCGGCCCTCCCGGCCCGCTAGACGATGGCGAACTGGCAGACGTAGGGCAGCTTGTCCCGGCAGCGCTTGTCGAACCACTTGCCGTTGGCTGCGCCCGACAGGGTGGCGCAGTTCTCGACCTTGCCGCCATCGGGCTGCGCCGTGATCTCCGTCTCCCAGTTCTTGTAGGCGATGTGGCCGCCGGTCATGTCCACCCAGGCGCCCTCGGACGCCATGTCGTTGAAGCCCAGCCAGACCTCGGCTTCGCTGCCCACGCTCTGGCGCAGGTACTCGTATAGGGAGTCGTTCTCGGAGCCCGTCTGCGGGGTGCCCAGGGTGCCCCCGCGCGAGATGCAGTCCTCGCTCGCCTCGTGGAAGGTCTTCGCCTGGACGAAGGCCAGGAAGCACTTCATATGCACCTTGGTACCCTTCAGACAGACTGGGAGGGGAGAAGTGGCCGTCACCCCAGGCTCCCCAGCCGAGAGCCCACTGCCAGGGGCCGGCTCACCCCGCTCCATCCAGCCCTGTCGCCGCGGAGGGGCTCCAGGCCCAGGCCCGAGGGCCGTGCTGTGATGGGCACTGACGCGCATCTGAGACCCCCGATTCACAGCGGGGGTGGAGTCCCCGCTGCTGGGTGTTGGCCCAGCCCCCTCAGCTGCAGACAGACGGCCCCTCCCTCCCTAAAGGTCACACCCTTCTCCTGGGTGCCCCATCCAGTGCCCAGGGGAGGCAGGAGCGGGGGCATCTCTCCCCCAGGCAGGATAATTCTGCCTTTAGCAGAATTAAAAGGCCCTTTAGGGGCCTTTTAGCTTGGAGGCTGCACAGGGGGGCACTAGCTGGCCTTGGGTGCCCCTCTGCCCAGTCTGCTTCCCACCGCCCCCCTTCACAGCTGGCGCCCCGGACTCTCCCTGATGAATGAACCCCATCTCAGAATGGGCTTCCCAGGGAGCCCCACCAAAGCCACCTGCTCTGATCTTCCTCCCGCCCCACTCTCCCTGAGATCGGGGCCAGGCGACATGCTGACCCAGAGTCCAGACCACACTCCAGGTGCCGAGGACCCCAAATCCTTGCCCCAGGGGCCCAGACAGGCTCCCAGCATCTGCCAGCAGCCTCTTTTGGGTCAGTGCTCCTGAGGGCTGGTTGGGGTGGTGACTGGGAGCACAGAGCTGAGACTGGCCAGTCCCCGGACAGAAGAGATGGCCCAGGCAGTGGGCCAGGAGCTCGCTGTCTCGGGCTCAGGACTCTGAGGAGTCCAAGAGTTCTAAATTTGATTCTGGTCTCAAAGGTTGTGATGAAGGTGTGTATTTGGTCTAATTAGGAACATAGACTGTTTCTGCTTAGCAGTTTATTCTTTAGCTGGGTTTATAACTGAGATATTTAGACAGTTGGAGTGTATGTCTCCATTTGTCCTCTTGCTGCTGATCCTCAAAATTTTAGGGGTGGGTCTGCACTCCACCACCTCCCCCACTCACTCACCTGCTCACTCTGTTACTCTAACTTAACACATGTCCCTGTGTCCCCGTGAGCACCGGACACTCCTGGAACTCTCAACTCCAGGCCTGGAGCATCACTGAGGTGTCTTACTCACAGACACTGTCCCAAGTCAGCCAGCTCTGCCATGTCCCCTCGTGGTGCATCCTAGCCCAGCTTCATCGCCCTTCCCAGCCTGGCCCCACACTGTCTTTCCTTCCTTCTGGGGACACTGTGAAATGCCACCTAGACCCCTTTGGGGTGAAGGCCTGTCCACCCCAGCTTTTGGGAGCGCTGCCCAAAGACAACTCTTAGCTCTCAGCCTCCCTTTGGGGATTGCCTCAGTGGAAGATAGCCCCTCGCCCACAGCTTGCCCCTCCCCAGAGCAGCCCCCACCCAGGGACTGGCCCATGAGCCCCCTTGTCCTAACTCATTACAGCTCTGAAGGGCCCTGCCGAGGTCAGGGCTCCCTCTGCCGTCTCTGGGGCCTTTACTGAGACACAGGGCACTCTGCCCACTCCTGAGTCCTGTCTCTTCCCTTCTGATCCTGGGTACTGATCAGGTACTGATCCTGGGAGGTGCTCCCTCATGAACCTCCTGCAGGCTCAGCTCCAGCTCAGGGCTGCTCCCTGGGAACCCCACCCACAACACTAACATAGTCCTCAATAAGTGTCAGCTCTCAGTACCTTACCATCGTAACTGACATTTTGTCACTCGCCTACTTGTGATCTGGTGGGTTCATGCTGGCCCTCCCTAGCTCTGCTCCTGCTATGCCCTCTGCATGGAATCCCTCTTTATCTTCCTACACCTGCTTTAAGGGTGCCAGGGAATACACTGATTCCATGGATATATTGAGGCCCCCAGAGCAGGGCTCCACTGGGTCACCTGTGTCTCCTTGTGCCTGGCAGAGGCTTGCTAGGTGGGGACCTCACATGTGTTTGTTGACTGGGGGAGAGGAAGGGCAGATGGCAGGAGGGAAGGGTTTCTCCCCTAACCCCTCATTCTCTCAACTCTTTGGCTAGGTCAGCAGAGCTCAGGAATGCTTTGTGTGGGGTTCTTGGCAAGGTGACTTGCAGATTGTCATAAGAGAGAGGGTGATGAGAGAGAGAAGGCCCCCAAGGAGACCGGGAGCCCATGAACCTTCTGGGAATCACCAAACGTGGAGGGGGTGTTTGGATCTCTGTATGCCGTGGACTTTGCACAGGGAGGTCCCCACGACATTGCCCACCTCAGAAGGCAACCAGCATCTGGGTTGCATGGTCTTTGCACAAGTGCAGAGCTTAGTCATGAGACCTTAGAGTTTACCCTGCAAGTCCAGCCCCAGCCCTTCTACTTTACAGATGAGGAAACTGAGGCCTCGAACGGCATTGTGCTCATCTTAAACATTCCCCCATGTGTTAAGTATTACTGATCGTCTGTAGTCTCTGTCCTCCAGGGCAAGGTCACGAAGGAGTAGGTGAGTCTGAGGTGTGTGAAAATTGGAGACAATGTGAAAGGAACTCGGTGGAGAGAAAGAGAACGGGTTGTCCAGGCAGGCTGGCCAGGAAGTGCCAGGGCAGGTGGCTGTGAGCGGACTGTGTCCCCAGGCTCCACTGCTGGGTGTTTTGTCCATCCTGGCTCAGCTGGTTCGTGCAGAGCCAGGAAGACCACAGCCCACCTCTCCTCACACCCAGCACGCACCGGGCCAGCCACCTCCACTCCCACCCTAACTTGCACTGGCCAGCCAGGGGAAAATGGGCAAAACCAGGGCTCTCTGTCTCAGCTCCCCTGTCTAGAGCAGGGATAATAAATCCTGCCTCGGCACAGTGATGATGACTGGGAGTGACAGGATCAGCAAAGCTGCTCGACAGGTGTTGAGGCTCATGCCCTACAGGACTGTGGAGCCGGCTGAGTGGGGGGGTCTCCTGGGGGCTCATTAGGATGGCCTCTGCTCCACCAGCCCTCCAGGGCTCACGCGTCCAGCGGGCGGTAATGGATTCTTGTGGGAGAGTTCATTGTCCTCTTGGGACCTTCCTGCTTCCACACATCAGGGGATTTTCCTGAGAGGAAGCAGGCTGAGGAGGGGCCTCCTTGAATCTGGTGCCCTGGACTAGGGGAGCCAGCCAGTTCCCTGATGCTGGGCCAAAGGCTAGAAGCGGACCCCTGACTGCTGGCCTGAGCCCCTGTGTCCAACGCACGCCCGCCTGGAGAGGTGGCCATGTTCACTCACCCGTCTGCAAGGCCTGCTGCTCCTTCAGCAGGGCCACCTCCTGGGCCAGGCTGTCCAGCTGAGCCTTGAGCTCCTCCAGCATCTTCGGACTCACGGCATCTAGGATGAAGTCAGAAGGAAGTGGGCACAATCCCTTGATGAAGGCAGGAGGGATGGGGGCAGGGCAGGGACTGGAGGGGTGGACCACCATCAGCCACAAGGGGACAGGGGATGACCCTTCGACCTTGATGTCGTGGCAGACTCTGTCTCTCCCTGTCCCTGCCAGAGGTCATCCAAGTGATTGCTCGTGATTTCCCTTCTGCCAGGGACCCTCCTTTACTTGCTCTTGCTCACACGAGACCTGTACTGCATTGTGTAGGAGGGATCAGATGGGATGGCGATTGGCAGGGGTGGGTTGGGGGTGCAGGCAGAGGCTTCAGTGACCGCCCCCGCCGACCCTGACCATCCTCCCAGCTCCAGAGGAGAACAGAGCACGGGAAGCAGGGCCGGGGCCCTGGCAACCTCCCAGGTGTACTTTCCCGGAGGAACAGCACACAGACCAGCAGGGCGGGTGCCCGGGCTGGCAGGGACAGGGAGAGAGAGTCAGGGCACTCCGCTCTTGCTGTCTGCTGTCCTGCGGGCCTCCAGCGCCCTGGACCTCCACGGGCCACCTGCATGGCTGGAGAGGACCAGGGCATTGTCTGGTTTGATCTTCGTGTCCATGTGATGAGATCTGTGATTTACATGTTCGAATAAATACATACTACATCTTCGGGAAACTTGAGAAATTAGCAACTCTTTTTCCACATTGAAAAATTCTGTTCTTTGCCTTTGGAACTGTGTATCCTTTACAAAGAACATCCTTGGTGGCAATTTTCGCTAATGTTCATGGACATAGCATGCATGTCACCAGTCCTCTCTTTTTCTTTAATGAACATTTTGTGGAAGGCAACACAGCCATATAGTATTTAAATACCCAAACAGTTCAAAATGTTCAAGTCTCTTTCCCAGTCAATCTGCTCTCAGCTCTCTAGTTTCTCTTCCCAGAGATAATCACTGTTGCTAACTCTTGTGAATCCCTCCAGAAAAGTTCTATGCATATACAAGTAAATATGTATTTTTTTCTTTGAAGTAAATATATATATATTTACATAAATCCCTTTTTCAAAACAAACCTCACATAAGTATCCATTCTGCTTTGAATTTTTTGTTGTTTACTTTATGAACTGAACCTTGGGGATTATTTCCTGTCGGCCCCGGGACCCGCCCATTCTGTTGCAGGCCCGTGGGTCTCCATGGTCCTAACGTGCCCTTGCGTACATCATCCGTGACCAATGGGCAGCTGTCCATTTACAGGGGCGGCTCCGGGAGGGGCCTGAGTGCAGCTACGCCCCCTGGCCTTGCCTTGTCTGTGCTCTTGGCCCCAGGCCAGCCGTTTTGGTGCCTGCATCAGCACTCTCATCTCCTGGAGCCCTGTGGGGGTGCCTGCATCAGCACTCTCATCTCCTGGAGCCCTGTGGGGGTGACAGCCCACGGCATTGCCATGGCACTTCACTAGTGTTGTCTCAACACAGCCCGGGGTGACCTCACTGCAGGCAGGGCTCCAAGGGCAGGCCTTGCTGAGGCCAGGGCCACCCAAGGACACCCCAGGCCCAGAGGCCGAGGACGGAGAGCAAAGCCGCCTCCACTGTCCTAGTTCAGCCATGAACATTTTCATTTCCTCAAGGCTGTGATACACCATAGAACCACGAATTGTTCTTTTTTCCTTCCCCTGTGCATTACGTTATACCCTGTGTTCCAGACGCCTTACGTGTTTTCTATCATTAAATCCTCCCAACCAACCTTTTGAGCCAAGGCCCCCATCTCAGTTTCACAGTTGAGCAGCCTGAGGTTCGGAGACAACAAAGCGGAGCCTTGTCAGCCCTCCCGAGGAGAGTCGGACATCTCCAGGCTGCCGAGCCAAAGGTTTGGTTTCTCTTAAAATCTTGGGGTGGTGGGGGAGGAGTGCGTGTCCGTTAAGGTGATCTGCAAGGTTCTTTCCGATTCTAAGAGCCAGTGACTCTGACAGTTCATACAGCTGCCCCTGCGGCTGGAGAACTCACCCCGGTCCCAGTCTTGTGGGGGGGCGGGTGGGTACCTCACTGATGCTGGGCTGGGGAGAAGGGAAGAGAAGGAGAGAAGGGAGGGTGAGGGCCTGTCAAGGAGAGAGCGGCCAGCTCCCCACCCACCTCCTTACCTTTCTTGGCATTTGCAGCCTTCTTGACCTTGGCGGTGGGGGCGTCGGCAGCGACCTGGGTCAGGAGGGAGAGGAGGCAGAGGAGCAGGCAGGGCCCCCAGAGCGCCATGCTGCTGCCGGCCGGGCTGCGGCTGCTGCTGCCTGCGTGGGTCTGGGTCACAGAGCACTGGCAGCTGGGGCCGAGCGGCGAGTCTTAAGGCAGCGGCCACGGGGACCTCTGTCCAGGAAACCCTCCCAAAGTTGGCTGCCGGAGTGCCAAAAAAAAAAAATATGTATATCCTGCAAAAAGAGGAAGGCCTGGGAGCCACAGAACCTGGCTGCTGCTGGGGGAACACCCACCCAGCATCCTGGCCCCGCCCTCTGAAACAGTCATTGTTTTCTAGGATTCTGAAAAATACACAGTCGTCCTCAGAGCTCCCGTCCGCTGGGCAGTTACCTCAGGCAGGCACTGGGTCACGCTTTCCCCTGGCCTCACAAAGGCCTCACACCAGCAATCTGAGGCAGGTGCTGGCATTTCCCCATTTTACAGTTGAGGAAACTGAGGCTCAGTGAGGTTAAGGGAGCCTCAGCTACCAAACCTGTTCGAGGCAGCACCAGTATCTGACCCTAGCCCGGGTACAGGACAGTCATGGAACCGTGTCTCCCTAGGGACAGAGCTGGGGCTCGCTGCCAGATTGTCTGGGGTGTTTGCTGCGACTCTCTTGTGGTTCTGCATCTGTGTTCTTGTTGCATGTTTGGTTAAAAATACAAAGACCTTTCCTTTCTTGCTTTCACTCTCTGTTTTTCAGCCATCCTCTCCTGAAGTCAAGGCGACCACGGTGGGAGAGGGGCAGCCTGGTGCCCCAGAGGGGTGTCAGACACGGGGCAGGGAGGAAAGGATGTCCCCAGGAAGGGGGGCCTGGTGTGGGGCGTCAGGACGCAACAGGGTGGGAGGGGGCCCCCCCCGGAGGAACAGAGGTCCCACATGCAGTGCTGGAGTCCAAGCGAGGAGAAGAGATCTGCGTGGGAGAGCGGGTGGGGACACATGGGAGAGAGTGCTTACACGTCAAGTAACTACATTTATTAAGACCGTGGGGAAGAAAAACAAAAAGACCTTGAGAGCCAGGTTTCTCATTGTCAGGAAAGGGAGATACAAATACATAGAGAAAACATAGAGAATGTTTCCAACAGTGTAGGATTAAAATTGGAGCTGTCGGTGTGCAGTTGTGGACTTGGACACATGGAGCCGAATCTGTAACTGTCCACAGAAATGAGCGCATCAGTCCCCCAGCTAGACGTCTGGGTGGAGCAGCAGCCCCACCAAAGGCTTGAGCATGCCTAGCATCCAAGTGCTGGCTTCTCAATACAGCTTTCCACCCAAAGGAACCGCAGCACCTTGGAGCAACAGCTTATTACAGGGCTGGGGCAGGAAAAGGAGAAGCTAAGCCCAGCCCAAGTTATTTTGCCAGAACATAAGAAAATGTTTAAAGAAGGATGAGAACGTGGCAGGACACGGAACCAGCTTGAAGGAGCTTCTTAGGGCCCAAATCGGGGACAGTTTGAACATCAAAACAGTGACAGTAACAGTAAAATAGGAAGGCATCAGTGCATACAGATACAAATAAATAAGTGAATACACTGCAAGTCTGATGAGCAATGAGATATTTTATTTTCTTTTTTTTTTTTTTGAGATATTTTCATTGTCTCAGGTTATTTGTCCACAAAATACTTATTGACTACAAAGAGGAAAGAGTCACCTTGCAACGGAGAAGCCTGGGCAGACGTCACTTTAATGAAGTGACGGAGGTCAGCACCGTCAGTAATGGACCCAGCAGAGAGCCTGCAGCCCCCGAGCACCTGATGGGCTGGGGGGAGACTCCTGCCGAGGACACAACGCACAAGCCCAACTGAGGGGCTCCCTCCACAGCAGCTGACCAGCAGTTTTCAGAACTGTCCAGGACACATCTGAGGACACGAAGGAGGTCACAGACAGAACAGCAAATGTGCTGCGCTCTGGACCAGACCCTTCTGCTCTCTGGACGCCCTTGGGACGGGGTGAGGAGCACGTGGCAGGGATGGTACGTCGTGATGATGGAAGAGAGGGCCTCAGCCACAGGGACCACACACTAAAGCGGGAGGCAGTGATAGGGCATCAGGTCAACGACTTCCTTGGAAATGGCTCAGGGGAAAAACGTTCTCTGTGCTGTAGTTGCAGATTTTGTGTGAGCTTTAGATGGTTCCACAAGAAAATGCCGCACTGTGTAACTCAGGCTCTTCTTGCAGGGACCCCCGCCTTGCTCCATCTGACCTGGGCAGGGACGTGCCTGAAGCCTGGTGGGCCAGGCCCTGCCCTGCAGTCCCTCTGCGCCAGAGCCTGGGGCAGGCAGCAGGCACTCCGTGCGGCTGCCTTCCTGTCTGGGCCGGCCCTCACGTTCTCAGAGTGCAAGAAGGATTTATATTCTCAGCCGGGCCCTCAGTGGGACGTTGAGGGCCAAAGATTAAGCAACCTACCAGGGAGTCTTGCTTCCTGGAACTCTGGATGGGTAGCACACGGCAAGAGAAATTATGGTTCTCTTTTTCTTTTTACTCTATTGCGTTCCTGATTTTCTCTTCTCGGCTCTTGGGCAGCAGGGAAACGAGAGGAGTTTGTGTCCGAGTACAAGGCCAGCACAAGCCCAGCTGTGGAGGCCGTGCCCTGGGTAGGCTGGGGAGGGGGCCCTAGAGGAGCCGCTCAGAAGCCTAGAACCCTCTGCCCTGGGGCTTACCCCGTAGGAGCCACGGGGGAGCCAGGCTGCATCAGAGCTGCCTGGGGCTGTCCTTACCCGGCCGGTCCCCCGGCCACCGTGCTGCCCGGGGGTGCGCGGCCCTCCGTGCCAGCGGGGCTGCGGCGACCTCTCCAGAGGCAAGTGGCCCACCGTCCCTCGATCCCTGAGCTAGACAGCTGAGTGGAGGAGGCCACGTGCTTTAACCGATATGGGATGTCCTTTTCCATTGATCTCCATGTGGTTGCTTAAAGCCTTCCTGGAACGAGCAGCTCATTACTCTACAAAATAGCTGGTTTCATCATTAGACGCTTGGCTTGTTATTGTTATGTCCGATGTCCGAATCCCCGAGCGGGAAGAGAGAAGGCTTCCAAGACAATGCAACTCGCAAAAAAAGGGAAGTTTATTGCTGACTCGAGTCAGGGCTCCCGCCACGCGTCCAGCGCAGTGGTATGGGGTCAGAGAGCGCTGAGCTCAAGCTGTTACCCAATTTATAAGGTGTGCATAAGCAGTTGGTAGCTGGCTTAAGCGGATTGGTTACATGTTTGCAAAGTAATCTTATTGGCCCAAACCTTTGCGGGCTTTTTTCAAATTTGGGCGTTTGCGGCTTTTCAGCTTTCCCCTGATAGGTTCCCTTTTTCTTGCTAGGCGCGTGTTGATTGGCTGGCTCCAGGTTACCTGATGGGGGCGGGGAATCCCACCATTTCAGGGGAAACCGAAACCCAGGTCCGGGCCGCCTGCCAGCCCCAGCAGCCCCACAGTTATAAAGTCCCCCTGCGGTGAGGCAGTTCCCTGGTGCACCAGAACAGTCGTTTAAGGGGCCAGCAAATGTCGGCAATATACAGCCTTGACATACTCCTTTCCCGATTTGGAACCACTCAGCTTGCTTATTTAACTTATATGCAGAGCACATCATGTGAAATGCCGGGCTGGACGAAGCACAGGCTGGAATCAAGATTGCCAGGAGAAATATCAGTAACCTCAGATATGCAGATGACACCACCCTTATGGCAGAAAGCGAAGAACTAAAGAGCCTCTTGATAAAGGTGAAAGAGAGTGAAAAAGCTGGCTTAAAACTCAACGTTCAAAAAAACTAAGATCAGTGCATCCGGTCCCATCACTTCATGGCAAATAGATGGGGAAACAATGGAAACAGTGACAGGCTTTATTTTATTGGGCTCCAAAATCATTGCAGATGGTGACTGCAGGCGTGAAATTAAAAGACGCTTGCTCCTTGGAAGAAAAGCTATGACCAATTTAGACAGCATATGAAAAAGCAGAGACATCATTTGGCCAAAAAAGGCCTATATAGTCAAAGCTGTGGTTTTTCCAGTAGTCACGTATGGATGTGAGAGTTGGACCATAAAGAAAGCTGAGCGCTGAAGAATTGATGCTTTTGAACTGTGGTGTTGGAGAAAACTCTTGAGAGTCCCTTGGATGGCAAGGAGATCCAGCTAGTCCATCCTAAAGGAGATCAGTCCTGAATATTCATTGGAAGGACTGATGCTGAAGCTGAAACTCCAACAGTTTGGCCATCTGATGTGAAGAACTAACTCATTGGAAAAGACCCTGATGCTGGGAAAGATTGAAGGCAGGAGGAGAAGGGGATGACAGAGGATGAGATGGTTGGATAGAATCACTGACTCAATGTACGTGAGTTTGAGTAAACTGGGAGTTGGTGATGGACAGGGAGGCCTGGCGTGCTGCAGTTCATGGGGTTGCAGAGACAGACTCGACTGAGCTACTGAACTGAAATGTTGGCACCTGGCCTTGCTGTCCCTCTTTGATTGTCTCTTCTCCTTGTTCCTTCCCCTCTTCCTCCCAACTTTCCTTCTAAGATACTGTTCCTGGACTTTAAAAAATCTTGAAAGCCTCTTTGCATAGAATTCTGCTTGCCACAGTCCTCACTGTGTTTGTGTTTGTGCGTGTTCTCAAGGAGTCTGCTGTGGACAGGGGCCTGTGTCTCCTGTGTTCAGAATGGACACGCTATTCAGAAAGCCACTCTTTGTAGATACAGCATGCCTCATTTGTTGCCCGTGTTGAGCTTAGGGCCATTAACCCCTCAGGTCCTCTTGTCCATTCCTAGTTCTCCCCGGCCATGTGAGGACCACCATTTCGGCCACCTGCAGTAGACTCACCACCAGCCCTGGGGGATTTCATCCTCCCAGCATAAAAAATCTTCTCGTGGACCGTCCCCCAGACCTCTACCAGCCGATAGGGCACCGAGCTGGGGGCATTTCAGCCAGGAGATCTATGCGGGGTTACTGTCCACAAGTGAAAGGAAAGGTCTGTGTGCTCACACCCCACCCTCAGGGCCCAGTCTTCTGTCAGTTTCCCTGCACAAAGAATCATTTTGACAATAAAGCCA